CATGTCTACTCTTTCCTGGATTGAGAGAATCTGGATTGTCTTTTTGTAAACCATCCCTTCCAAGGTTTACGTTAGCATTTGTTAATATGTCAGAATAAGACTCTATGAACTTGGCTGAAGTAGTCTGTTGTCCACTTATCTGACTTGTTCTTTTCTCTTTTTCTGCCTTTTCTTTTGATTGTTGTTGTGTCATATTATTGTGTGGCTGCTTTTGCAGTGGGCTTTTCATTGTAACTGTATAATTATTGGCCCTTTCTTGAGGTGGTTGTTCTGTTGATGTTTGACAGGTTGTGTGAATACTTTCATTTGATTTTGTAAACTTGTTTAAAAACCCTGAGAGCACTCCCGATTGACCCGCTGTCTCTATCTGTGTTGGATCAGTCTGGTTATGTGGTATTTTGTTTTGCTGTTGTGTTTCATAGGTGTTTTTGGGCTGCAACTGTTGAGCTGTGTTTTCTGAAGGGGATTTAAAAAGTCCAGAAAACAGACTACTTGCATGTGTTGTTTTTTGCGTTGTGCTATTTTTTGGCTGATCTTGACTAAAAACTTGGATATTCTTTGTCTTTATTGGCTCATTATTGGATTTGCTTAGTGTCATTCCATGCTGATGAGCTGATGGTTGACTTTGTGTGTTTAAGTTGTCTGCTGAAGCAAATTTGAAAAGTCCAGATAGAAAACCACCTTGTTGGGATGGTGCTTGCTGAAGTGGAACAGTCTGCTGTCGAGCAAATCCTGGTTTATTTGTCTCGTATCGGACACCTTGGTGATTCTGAGGAATGTTTTTAATAGGATGACCTTGGCTTGGACCTTGAGTAATCAGTTGGCTTGGACCTTGTTGACTGCTTTGGTGGTGAACTGTTTGACTCCTTGAAATATTCTCAGAGGATTCAAATTTGAGCAAGCCAGATAGCAGTCCCTTTTCTGCAGTGTGTGTTTGCTGAGTTCTGTGTGAAGTCTGCTGTTGACCAAAGTAATTGCCGGGAATGTTCCTTTGTGCTTCACTATCACGAGATTGTCCCTTTTGTTGCAGGTTTTTGGTAGATGAAATGTTCAATAAACCTGAGAGAAGGCCCCCCATCTGTGGAGTTGAAGAGGTTTGTTCTGGGGCCGTGTGTTGGGAAAATTGTGTGGGATTATTTCTGTTGAATGGCTGATTGTTAGCATGCTGTGATAAATGGCCAGATAAGTCACTACTAGAGCCAAATGTAAGAATTCCAGATAGCAGTCCACCTTGTTTTGGTTGATTGACAGTCTGCTGCTGCATTCCAGATTTCTGATTTGATGTATGTTGGGCTTGTGAGACAGATGACAGTTTACTGTTCTGAGGTTGCTGATTACAGATTACATTCTGGTCTAGACCAGAGGGTGCTGGGGTAGGGTTGAATATGCTGGAAAACCACCCTTTCTCACTATTTTGCTGGTGCACAGGAGGATTCTTGGTCAAGGTGGTCGAAGTTGTTGAAGTCAGATCATGCTGAGGATTCTGTGTTTTTATGGAGGCACTGATGTCTTCACTGGATGCAAACTTTAAAAAACCAGAAAGCACACCACCTTCTGCTTTGGGACGTGGCTGAGTGGAAACGTTTTCAGATGAAGAGAAAGGTACTTTAGGCTTACTAGTCAATGCTGGGTCTTCAACTGGTTCCTCTAGTTGGGGGCTCTCTGTGGTTCTAAACACTGGATAAACTGCCACAGGTGGAGCTCCGTGGGGGGGAACAGGGGCAGCAGGTGTGATCAGTGAACTTAATGACTTCTTAAAAGGGCTAAAGAAACTGGTGTTTACAGAATGTGTTGGCCCAGTTGACCCTTCTGGCTCTGGAACAGGAATACTCCCTTTATTCAAAATTGACTGAATTTGTGTCTCATATAAGTTTCTATCATAATTTTGTCCTGAATATTTTTCATGTGAAAGTCTTCTTAATTCTTCTGATTCACTACCTCTGTTATCAAGCCATCTCTCTTCCAATTGTGTATGACTCTGAGAACATGTGGATTCCAACGCCTGTTTGCATTCAGCCAAATTCACATTATCAGCTGAAAAAAGCTTCAAAGGATTTAATCTACCCAAGACTGAGTTTTCTGGAGCACTTTGAGGTTTGGTTACAAGCTTGGGTACATGGTCTTTTGCACTTGTTTGAGTCTGACACCTGCTGGGAGTTTGTGTTTCTTGATGATGACTGTGTATTTTGGCATCATGTGGTGGGTGAGAAGGCAAAGAATTGAATGACTTTTCAGGAGAACTTTCTACTGGAGAGACAATAGCTACGGGAGCTGTGTTATTTGACTTAGGAATGAAGGACAACAATTTTGTTAGTCCAGATTGTGAGGATTGTGCAGATGATACTTGTGGAGATAGGGCAGGCTGTTTAGGGCCTCCACCAACTTTGTCAGTGAGAGAAGTAAACAATGAGCTCATGGCATTTTTTACTCCTGAAATGCCCTGATCAGAAGCAGCATGTGATTGGGATTCTTCTCTTAAATCCTTTGAATTACTTTGCTCCTCCCCAAATGAATCAGTTCTATTGCTACCATAGGAGGACAGCCTAGACTTGCTTGATTTAGGCAGGGATCCATATTTGCTAATTTCCTCTTCTTTTTCAGCCAGGTATTCAGACACTGTTTCAACAAGACATTGAAGCTCATCCATAGGATCAACATATTCATCACTTGGCTCTTCTACAGGAGAGAGCATTGCCTCTGAAACCCATCCTCCTGATTTAGGTTTCCCATACTTCTCCCAAAGGCTCTGTGAATGTTCTATGTGGTCCTCATAGGAGAAAGAATGCCTATCTTTATAAAGTCTTTTGTTCTCTGAGCGACACTCATCAGCCATAAAGGCAATGTCATTAACACTGTCCTCTGCTCCTATAGGGTGGTGCAGAGGGCTCTCCATTTCAAAATCAAACTGTGCCTTCCTTCTAGCATCTTGCCCTTTTTTGTATGCCACATAATTCTCCAAAGTGCTGTCCAGCTCATTTTTAGCCCACATCCTTGTTTTGTAGAGAAGCCCATTCTGATATGGTCTCAGATCTGATGTCATACGCTCCTCCTCTTCCTGCATCTCTGCTACCTGTCGCATGAAAAGCTCCCCTCTTTTCTCACGGAGGAGTGCAAGGTCAGCGGGAAAGGTCTCTTTTCTCATTTTGTCTGCTTCTGGACTGAGAAACCCTCCTGGGTCTGTAATCTTTTTCTTTCGCCGACGATCAATAGTATCATAACCCTCAGGATAGGTGGCAGGCAGACCACCACTATGCTTTGTATTCTGATGGATAGGTGAACGTGATAGCTCGGAGTAGGGTCTTCCCATGCGAAAGATAACGCTGTCTTCATCATCTATAAAGTCACTTAGCTGTGGCTTGCTTTGCCCCTTGTATTTGTTTTCCCAATCTTCAACCCCCATGCCAGAATCTACAGGTATAATTCTGACTCTTCCTTTCTGGTTTAAAGAGCTTCTTTTTTTTTTTTTAAGTAAAAAAATTAATTTAATGAGGGTGTGGGAATGGATAAAGGGATGGAAAAGAGGCATACAAAAAGAAAAAATGCAAACAGAAACGCAAGTTAAGCCACACAGTAAATTATGACAGAAACAAATCTAAATAAATCTTTTTGTAATGATGACCTGATCTATAATATATATGATAAGCAATATGTAACATTGCATTCTTTAATAAACATTTTTTGCAGTTTTTGATGATCTTAACTAAACTGCCCAGAAGGCATACCAAAAGCCTAGAACATAACATGTTACACATTTCATACATTTGACAGGGGTAATAAAACTCTTTGTTTGCAAGTGTGAGATTGTGTGCATATAGCTCCATGTTTGCACGTGCCTCACTGAATTTAGATTGTTGTAAATCCCCACTGCAACAAACACGCTTATCAGCACTTCCACAGTCTGTCTGTAAAAGTCTTAACAGGAAATGTCCGCAAAATCACCACCATATGGCATTCATGGTAGAGGTTTTTATGTTACAACTGAAAGGCATGTGTCTGTCACTGACCTATTTCCTCCAGAGGTGTGAAAGAGGGATTTCCTCTTTGTGATATACCCAGAGCATTTCAAACTAACAGAAACTTTAAACAACCCAACACACCCTCAAGACAAAAAGAAACATGAACAATGAAGGTTTTGTTTTTTTTCTGTGACTGTAATCACATTTTTTTTCTGATGTAGAATTATCCGGATCAACTCCCTATCAGTCAACACAGGCAGATTTGTAGCAGTCTCACTGGTGCGCATGCATGCTACGGCAAGCACACAAGATTAAAGTCCATGAACCAAGAATATTTGTTTTCTGGACCAAATACTTCCTGACAGCATTTTACTGGCGTTGTAGTGACCATAATAACAACAAAAAAGAATATATTATTTTTGTATGTTAGTAACAATCATCATATAAACACTTTATTTTGGCCATTTGGCCAACAGTAAACAAATAATCCTGATATTCTTCCTGATGTACGGAAGACAAAAACATGGGCTTTTGATCAGGTAAACTATTCATGACAAAATTAATTAAGAGGTAATTACCAATTCTCTGTGAAACAATCTTATCTAAAGTAAACACTTCTGACTAGGTTTTAAACCCTAATTAACGGAGGCACAAGTAATGTCATTATGATACCAATTACATTTGCATGATTTACCTTTATAATTTCATTGATGTTGATTTAACTCTGGTTATTTTTGAGGTCATAATGAATAGACAACTCATTTTCAGTTACATTATTGAAAAGCACTTCTTAAGTTTTGCACTATTTGTGTAAAAAGTGAGTGGGAGAAAAAAAAAAAAAAAAAGGCAAATACAGCCATTACCGCCGTGATTATATTACTTTGCATTAGACGACAGCAGTACACAATAAAGCAACCCATCAAAACTAACTGCTGCAGCGGAAGCAAGAACCATCAGGCTACACTGCCAGTATGTGTAAGGATAAAGAGTGTCTGTTCAGGAGTGCATGAGTGAGTGAAGGTATCCCTGGGCGACCCGGTCTACCTGCTTCCTCTTGGGTCCCTGTAGTCCAGGTCGAAACTGTGGACAGAGTCTGTGCAGCCATCCGGGCGATGCTGTGGCCGAGGCCCCATCGGGTACTGGTGCATAGATGAGTTGGGCTGAGCAGTTGTGTGGTAACGTGGAGGCAAACTGTTACTGGTCTCACTGCGGTAATCGCTATCCCGGTCATCTACAGCACTGTCCTGGTCATCCAAGGCTGCAGCAGGTAAAAAGACAAGTTCTAAACACCCCATCCTGACAGATTGTAAAATTGTTTAGTTAGATGGCTTCATTTTTCTATCAAACCTTGCTGATTATTTATGTAAAAGAAGTGTATGTATTCTTGTTTGAATTTTTATTAAATATAAAAATGCAAAAAGCTGAAAAAATAAACAAACCACAGTTACCTGATGCTAGGGGAAAAGTTAAAAATGCAAACATTTAAAACTTTCTAAAAGCTATGGGTCAAGTGCAAAGCAGTACAGGTCTTCTGCAAAAAAAGCAAAATGTTGAATACAAATTGCAAAATATGGCAGTTTCTAGACACACTCTTAACCATTATAATGATGCCTGAGTAGGACAGGAAAGCAACAAATGGACACAGAGCTACACAAATCTGCAGCCAGGAAAACTTTGTGCGGTTATTTTAATAAATGTTACTGGCCCTGATATGACAGAATTATTCTGATTATGTTTTAATAGATTTCACATCATAAAATGTCATAAAAATTGTGCAATTGATGTAAGTATTTCAAGAACAAAATATAAGATGCAACTTTTACTAAACAAGAAAGAAGAGAGTATTCTGTAATCCTGGATCCTAGCAGAAAAATAAAAAATAAAGCTGACTAACTGACTAGCAATAGGTTTGTAGAATTATAAGAGCTAATTGTGTACAACCCTGGGGTTATTTGAAAGTGATTTATTCGAAGTAAAAAGAGTGGAGAGACCCACAGAATGGCGCTGCACTCTGGTACAGTCATTCTCAATTAAGAAGGCAAGAGAATCTTCTGAATGAAAAGATTTCCATGCAGGATAAAAACAGATTTCGTCAGGATCGCTCTTATTATTTTCAGGTAAATACGGACTTCCCCTTGCTCTTATAGCAAAAATGTTATTTTTTTGTGATGCTGATTTTTGTTTATAACATACTAAAATAATTGGTCATCACTAACAGGTTACAGTGCAACACAAGACAAAGTTTCTAACAAAAAATTTGCCTCATGTGGCTTTACTTAAACAAAACTCCCACCTGTGCACATGTAGCCTGGGAAATTCATAGTCATGAATATATCAAACCATTACATCACTGCTTGCACTGTTTGTTGGCCCACTAAGAAAATAAAGTGCTGTACACGCAAGCACTTGTGCTAAATGTAAGGTAAAGAGCTATTCTTCACCTCTCTAGCTGTATGATCCCATAGATTCATCTACAGAATAATTTTCTATAAGAAAAGTAAAGATTGTGAACTTTATTTCTTGTTAGCCCAGTTAAGCCTCTATATTTATGCACAAAAACATAAAATAATCATTTTACAAAGGGGCAACCTTGTGTTGAATTACCGAGAAGAAGACAGTTTGTAGGTGTTCACCCCACACAGCTTCATAATAATTTGTATAACTTCATATAGGAAAGCACCAAAATACACCACTTCTTGAAACTGACCTTACCAGTTCAAAGGCAACGTCTTCTAAAAGCTAACCATAAGGCAAGTATTGGCTAGGGAGATAGCTAGGCTGGGGTTTGTCGTTTCAAGTGATAAAGCCATAAGAAGTGATTCATAAATATTTAGCAAAGACTGCCACCTGTCATCTCTGTGAAGGAACTGCAATTCCCTACATTAAACACGTAATAGGGACTTCCATTGTTAGTCAGACTTCTTGCAATGTTTGTTATGTATCAGAAGATTACTTTTCTGGATCTTTTCTGGAATGTACACAATATAATAATAAATGATATATGTGTTGTAAAAAAACATTCTAACATCAGAACAGGGCATATTGTAGAAAACAAGAAAACAGCAATGGGAGAAAATGTCAAAAGGTAATCAATGAATGCAGCGAGGAAAGAAAAAAAAATTAAGTAATGTGAATTAATTGAATGGGAACCTTATGGTTTACGTGTTACAAGGGGCACATGGGGCTTTATGACATGCAGAAGGGGAATGAGGATTGGCCAAGGGGGAGAATTTCATCAAAGTGTGTTACATACTCAGTGAATCAGCCCATCCGAAATAGTTGCCTGGTAAAAGTGCAGATGTAACAAGTGAGAGGCAAGTCAGAGGAGTCGGGGATTGTGTAAACAAAGAAGACTTAAGTGCTCCTGTGTTGTAATAATTGGACAATGAGGGAGCCCCATAAGTGGCAAACAAACACATAAATTGTCACAAGAGATTTAAAAGAAAAAGAATAAAATAGAAGTAACAAGACAAATGAGTCTGAGATCCAGAAAGATAGAAAACTGGCTCCATCTAGAGGTTAAAAGTACAACACATTCAGGTACTCACAGCACTGGGAAGCCGCAAATGGCAATGGGTGACTCTGAACATCTTCCTGAAGAGAGCACTAGAGAGGACAGAGAGTGTAAAATGTGCATATAATAGCATTCTTTATTGACTGGAATAATAAACTTCATTTCATATTAAAACTTTCTGGTAAAAACTGTATTTTACCTCATCATGGATTCCCATTCTGTTGATGCGCTCCAGTTTGCCAGTCCAATACTGTGCCTCATCATCTGGGATATCTGGTACAAAAATATGCATGCAGCAACTATAAACTTCAAGCTTCATTTCCCAGTATGCTGTCATAATACATTTTATGTCTGTTCAATTTTTTATGAGCTGTTTGGAAATGAAGAAAATAGTAAGTTAGCAGAAACATACAAAATAAATGTCAAGTGTACAGTGTGGCAAGTTACAGGTTTCCTGAAAAATTATAATACAACATTAAATTTCAAATACACAAAAAATCTAAAGATAACTTTTAAGTGAAAAATACAAAATAATTACTCTACATTTACTGTTTGATATGATGTCTGGTAGACTAGTTGTACTTGAAAGGGGGATCTGCACTGCACTGTAGACAGATGCACATTAAAGGCCACACACAACACAAAGGCTAGGGCTTCAAAGACACCACAAACCCACGGCTTTAATGAATGGCTTTGGAAGCGCAGAGTCATGATGGGCTCCTGCAACCTTAAAAGGGCTCCTCTTAATACAGAGGAAGAGGCTCTCTCCCACACAGTGGACACTCTGCTTCAACTCTGATGCCTTTTGATCACAAGGCTTAAGCATTACATGCAGTGTAGTACTAAAACAGTGTAGTGGTCAAGTACAAAAAGGTGGTGGGAGCACAAAGGACACTTCACCATACAATAACTAATTAACTAATACTTTTAAATGTGAATCAAACTTTAATATTGAAAAACTTGCCAATATCAGGTAAATTCAGCTGTTTTTGATTCCTAGCAAGCACCAAATGTCAGGATATTTAGTCTTTATTTATAGATGACCGCAAACACCAAGCTGAACTACAGTTCATATTTCATCTACAGTATTGTAGTCTTGAGTCAACCCTCATTTCCTCATTTTGCTGAGAAAAATTATATAAAGGTGCAACCATTCATTGAAATATGTGGAAACATAAATGAAATACAGTATACAAGACAGAAACAGAGTTTCTAAATGTAATGAGCTTAAAAGTCAATATTGTCTTGACTACCTTTATCCTTTTACACAGCCTGGACTTTCTTAGGCAATCTTTCTTGTACTTTCTTTAAGTAGCGTTCAGGAATTGTTCCCCAGACATCCTGAAGGACATCTAAAGCTCTTCTTTGGATGATGGTAGCTTTTTGGACAGTTCTTTGATCCCATACCTCTTCAATAATGATCCCTGACTAGCATTCTATAGTGTGTACTTCTTTTTTTTTTTTTTTTACCCAACTATAACTGCCCTGCCAGTGTGTTTGGGATCATTTTAATGCTATAAAACAAAGCCACTACCAATTAGATTCTTTCCAGATGTTATTATACAGTGAATCAATATCTGATCACCCTTTTCTGAATGTAAAATTTCATCACTTTACAACAGATCTCCAATATCACTGCCTGAGATGTAGCTTCAAAAATTACAGATCCTCCACCATGTTTTATAGATGGCTGCAGACACTCACTGTTCCAGCTCTTTCCTGATATCCCCTGGACATACTGACTAGGGCGGGGTATCGATTTTGATTTTTATAATCGATTAAGTTACGATTCGATTCGATTTTGACTCAGACAATTGGAAGTATTATAATTCTGATCAATTATCAGTACATATCCATAATTTACATCTATGTATAAAAACAAAGCTGAAACTTGTGAGACTTCATTAGAGGTTTAATCATCACAGGAGATTCCTTTGTGTCAAAGTAACTGAGGATAAAACATGAAGGAGATTTTCCTGGCCTGGCTTTTTATAGCAGATAACCACCTTAAAAATATTCTACAGTAGATCAAAAACTGAAGAAAACCATAAATCAACATATGAACATGGCCTGATGCTGCTGAGGTGAAGCAGAGTGAAGTTACAAAGGTTTTTATTAGAGACACAGCTAAGCGTTTTGCAATTTGGCATAATTTGTAAAGGTTTAAATGTCTTTGATATTGAACAGCAGAAATGAGGCTTTCTTGTCAGAGGTCATTTTTGGAAAAAAGAAAAGACAAAGAAAAGCAGTGATGGCGACAGTGCTGAACACAACGGTAGACTGGTGCGTACTAAGCAAGCGAATAATGCAGAGATCTAAAACACAGATTTGACATGGGAAACTGTTCTTGAAGTACACTGAGAGAGAGAGAGAAAGAGCTGTGCAGGAAGTGTGATCTTATTGTGGTGGAAGCAAAACAGCAAGATTATTCAAACTAAAATCGATTTGAATCGGGAAATCGGTTTTTTTAAACATACTGACAGTGATTCGAACCAAATTTTCTACATTTCTTAAGTCATAAGACCTGGTGCCACTGATTTTTAATCCAGTATGTGTGTAAACTGATGTGGACCTTGTTGTGTTGGTACCTTTGAGAGCAAATAAAGGTAAGGGAAATTCCAACATTATCAGCATCAACCGATTCTAAGAACTTAACACTCTTGTCAACCTCTGGCTAGTCCAGAAATCAGTAGCTGGAATTATAGTGGCTGTCTATCTTTTTACACACAGTCTGTGATCTACCACTCTACCAGATTTTCTGCCCCTATGTAGCCAAATAAATAAATGCACCTTTAATGAAATCTGTATTCATATTCTGACATGGATCATTCTAGAAAACACTGATTAAGTGCAAATGGACCCAAACTCAGAGTCATATATTCCTCTTTCTCATGTTAGAAATGCTTTTGGATATTTCTAATGGTTCCTAAATCCTGTTGGCCACAACAGGACAACCTGGCAAAGACAAAATTATATTTACGGAACCTAAATTAATAAAGGAAGGTCTGCTATTGTTGAATTAGTGACCTCAGCTTATGCAGGACAGAAACAGGCGTCTCATTCTCAAAGGCACCAGATACGGGATGTTACACCGTCAGGCAAATATCTAAGACAAATATCTGGACTGCTTCTAGCCATAAAATCCTGCTTGGCTCCGCACAAAGGGAGAATGTTATGATGTGACCTTATATTTATCTTGTGTAAACCAGGTTGTTCTGAAAATAGGGGACTTTATTTAAAAATTAATGTGATTCCTAAACAGTTCATTTTTTTTTTTTGTAAATATCATTGAGTTAATGTTGAAAGTCTTAAATTCAATGATTATTTGATTTAAAATCCACTGTAGTGGTGCAAAACTATGCAAAAATTATGAATCTTCGTTCAACAATTGTGGACTCAACTGTTTAGCCATTAGATTTTCTGTTCAAAAGAAATTACTACTAGGTACCGTATGTCTGCACAAGACCAGTGGATACCAGGCTATGATGTTACACACTGCTCCAGGCTCGACACTTTTTTTTTTTGGTTCCTGACATTTCAGCAGGAAACATTTGTGACCTTTGAGTAACTCTCCAGATCAAGGTTTGATTCACCTTAAGGCAACCAGAATCACTAATGTATCTATTACAAAACATCTTACATAAGAGCTTTAACGGTATTTACAAGTGTGGTTCAATCAACTGAACAACTGTATGTCTTAGACTCTGGAAGTCTATTGTGCAGCTAAAATGGTTTCAGCTTTAATCTCACCAAAAGGCAGTTCGAAACGAGTATCCAACAGGACTCGATGAGGCGTCGGATTCTTCGTGCCATATATCTCATCAGCTTTCATCAGGACCTCTGCATCCAGGAAAAGCCATTCACCTGAGCCCTCCTGAAATTAAATTAAACACATTCATTTATTTACACAGACAATGCCTTTGCATGTATTCTTCAGTTTATGCTATGCCACTCATTCTTTTAATATGTATTTAAGGCAGTTTTATTGCCTGCGTTTTTACTATTTGTAGCTCAAATAGTGAGGCCAAGCAGCATTTATAATGAAGTATGTTCAATCTAGTGAAAAATTCAAAGTTCATTTTCTTAGTATTATGTGGGTCAAACAAGAAACATTTTTGTATAAACTACTTTTTTGTGTGTAAAAAAATATATTTTTAACTTTTTGATTTCCAATCATCCTGTAACTGTAATCATTGTGTAACATATTTAACATATTCATCATTTTCAAATGTTTATTTTATTTGAAACTGCCTTTATACTTGAAATTTCTATATTACTTTACCTTAGGTTTAGGAATCCAGTATTTATGAACAGAATATAGCCAACACACAGGTGTCTGCATTTACTTATTGTAGCATTTGAATTTTTAGTACGACTAAAAATTCAAAGCGTCCCTTTTATGAGATCATCATTTCACATCTTTGATGTGCCAACTGGAATTACTTACATATCTCTTTCTAGGGAAAAATGCAGAAAGACTGAGCAATATTTATGTAAAGGTACAAACTTTTGTTTTGTCTTTTGTTAATTTTACTAATTTAACATCTATTGATTGATGAAGTTAAATGCTGTATCTTGTTACTTCTAATGGATGGATTTCAAGTGGCTTTTTTCCACCTCAAACGTTTGGACTAAAATTCACTTGTACTTGACTTTTTGTGTGGGTGTAAGTTCTGACCTCCTCTGATTGTCGGATACTTTTTAATGGAATCCATGCAGTCCCCACCATGGTGTCCCAGATGAGACCTTTGTTCCACACCTCAACAATGAGGCCGAGGTCCAGCTGGTTGATCTCACTGTGCAAATTCAAGTAACAAATGATGATGATGATAAAATGTCACTGAATAAAAGAATGAAACAATAACTGTGTTGTAATGTAACTTCGTTATAAGAAATTTTTAAAATGGAAAAAAACAAAAACAAAAATTAAACCAGAAATTTCTAAAGGATTGCTATCAGGAGCTACTATTGCTTTAGCTACAAAAGCTACTTCCTCATTTTGTCCTGTATTAGCTGTCATAATCATTTCCAGCCTTGTTTTGTCATTCAACATGCTATTCAAAGGGCTCAAAAACAGCTTGATGACAGTATTAAAATGGCACATGAATTTTAAAAGCAGCCACACACCAAGGGCATTTGCATATTCTCATCTGTGCCACTTTACAACTACTGACGGACCAAACAAAAACAAGATCAGAGAAAAGATAATTAAAAAAAGAGCAAGGGTGGGGGTGAGGGTGGTGGGGTCCAGAGAGCTCAGGTGCAGAGATAAAGGCCTCCTAAATCATTTGCTCATTGAAAAAGAGAATAAATACATATAGCAAGGTATTTAACTGGGGCTATTTTTAACCGGGAGATTTATTGTTGTTCATGTTGCTGTTTAGATTATCTTTCCAGTTGTGCCACCTTTTATTTTAACGTTTTGCATTATCCATGTCTTTTTTAAACATGCAAAATAAAGTGGTAAAGCCAAAATTGCTGATAAATTGCAATCTATTTTCAAATACAAATACAAGCATCATCGTTTATTTCTTTAAATCACTTTCCAACCACTTTGTGTAGACTGATTTACAACCATGTAGTCCAACCTAATTCTATTTAAATTCGTACAGGACTGTTTTTCCTTATATGAATACACATTCACCGGCTACTTATTAGGTACAATTCCTTGACTGCTCATTAAAGTAAACTTCTAATCAGTCAGTCACAAAGGGACTTAGGGTTTGGGGTAATGTTCTCGGGAAACCAAATATATTGTATGTTTGTGGTGTGCTGTATAAGACAGTTTCCCTTTGTTCTAAAAGCAAATAAATATTGCATTATAAAAAGTGACACTGAACGTGGTGTGATTTTTACTGTCCACAAACTGCTGATCTACTGCGATTTTCTTGCATAACAATCTCTAGAGCTTACAGAGAATGGTCCAAAAAAATAAGAGAAGATATCCAGTGAGTGGCTGTTCTCTTGGTGAAAATGCTTTTTTGATGCCGGAGGTCAGAGGATAATGGGCTGCGCTGAGTTGATGGGAAGGTTAAAAAAGGCCAAACACTGAACCTAGGAACAGATGACCTACAGCAGTAGAAGACCACTTTTGATGCCACTTTTGTCAGCTGATAACAGGAAACTGAAGCTCAAATTTGCACAGACTCAGCGAAACTGTACAGTGGAAAATTGGAAAAATGCTGCAGGGTCAGAATTTGGCATAAACAACACAAAAACACATCTAATCTGCCTTTTATCAAAGTTTAGACTAGTGATGGTGTCATTTTATATTTCATGGGCTATTGTCTTGGCACATGCAGGCCCATAGCCTATATGGAGTAATGTTACTGACCTTAACAAATCTGATAGTCAGGTGCTAAAAGGCCAAAAAAACAAAAACAAAACACAAGAAAATGTAAAAAAAATTTATGACTTGTTAAATTAAGAGAAGGTGCAACTGAATAAGCAATTGCAGTTATTAATTTCCAAAACTGAGACAACCACTACTTACTCATTTGTTTTGTTCAGATGATGTTTTTAGACAATATATTTCAAATGTAACATAAAAATCCTAAAAAAAAAAAAAATTGCATGGTAGGTACTAAGATACAAAGTTTGAAATTGTAAAGTTCCCATTTTCTGCTTAAATTTAAGCTGGGTCGCTGTAACAGATGGTGCTCAGAATTTGCTGGAAAGCCTGATGAATAACCTGGAATTACACCTAGTGACAAAGCATGAATGGACAGTTGGAGGAAGGGGACCTGGAAAAACAAACACTGTCCCAAAAGAGGGAGTTCACAAAAGACAAACAATGGTGCGCATGCAACAAAGTGTTGCCTTTTGTGTCACCATAGATACATTTCAGAAATGGCTGGTTGACTTGGTGTGTTTTTAGGCGTTCAGCCCGGGTAAAAGATTTTCCACACAACTCACAGCTGTGTTTTTTCTCTCTCTTTTCAGAAAGAAAATGGGGAAATTAAATCAATAAATTATAAGGAGGAAATGACCAACAGCTGTTTTACGATATATTGTCTTAAACTGAATGGAGTAGATGAAAAACTGTAGCGTTTAAGCATTCGGATGAGTAGCTTGGAGAGATAAAATTGTGGATGTGTTGTTTCTATCACAGAGTTGCAGAGTGTGTGGTTTTTTATGTATTAATGTTTGATTTTGTTCCCCATGATAAATGGTGTGTTTCTGTATTTGCTTCTGTATTTCAGATTGACTTACAACATGAAATCTTGCTCCCAGCAGGGCTGGTCCCCACGCACAGTGATAGTTGTGCTTTTAACATTTTGCACTTTCAGCGTCACATAGGTGTTGAACTTATCTGAAACAGAGGAAAAGGCAGATTACGATTTAATTATAATGAGGAGGCAGCAATGCATTGAAAGCATATGGAGGAGAGCGAGCGTTACGCATAAGTTAACAGGAATATATGAGATTCATTAAGCAGTAATGAAGACACATAGCATAGTAAGACTCTGGACAGTCTACTATTAGATAGAACAACAGAGGTGATGTTTGAACTACCATGCCAGGTCTACCTCTGTTTTCTGTAGGAGGAAAAAAAGACATCAGGACTATCAGTGAGAGTAAAAGCAGATAAGTCTCCTCCCCCGACTATATCAAGCCAAACCCAGGCCAGGCCACCAAATCAACCCTGTTAATCTCCAATGAGAGCCAAACCCTCACAGCACATAGTACTACAGGATGTACAAATACATGGTACGTCTCTAGTCCACTATGAAGTGCAGCTGTTTTTTAAAATACCCTTGTCCTCTAAAAAATACACGTTGTAAAGGAAGCATGCCTGCTCATGATGTAATAAAGCTGAAGTCACTCCTGACCTGTTACTATTACAGAAAAGGTCTCTGTCAGCCCTAATATCATCAATACATAGAATATAGTTGGTTTAGTTGCATTTTTAACATTTGACGCAACTGTTGACTGTGTGACCTATACACAAAAATTGAGCCCTGCTAGGAGTGTACTGCCTGTGAAAACCACTGAAACATTGACTCAAATGTCTGTGTGTGTGTATACAACTTTCACACCCAGTTATCTCAGTCAACTTCCTTCCGCCAGTAGTGCTGGACAGCCGATTCTCAACAACTGTATGCTTCAGCGGTCAGTGCTGAAGGGGAGGGTGGATGGATGAGGGATTAGGCAACCCGTGCTAAAACTACCAGCTTTTCATTTCCTACTGTGGGGTTGGGGGCATCAACACGTGCCTGTTGATGTGCTCATTTTTCCTCATGTAGTTACCAGTCCTGCACAACTGGTGGTCCTCGCTACAACTCAATCCCCCCACATGGACACAAAAGCTGAGTGGGAGGAGGACTGAAAGGGAAAGGAAAAGGGATGTCTGTTTCTGACTGATAAATAAAATATACTTTATCATATGTCATGGAATACTACTCAGGGAATAGCTCACAATCATCTGATTCAAGATATTAAAAGGACACCTTGGTATAAACAATGTTTCCCCACGTCAATTAGAGTAGCACAAGTAGCAAGGTATAAATGCTCACGCCAACAAAATGACAAGACTATCAAGCAGAAAATTATATTAAAATTTAACAACATACGGCTGGATGGATATCATCTTGAAGTTTTTAGCAAAAAAATATACAACTATATTAATATGAATATGTTTTCCATAAACTGACAGCACGTTTATGGTTCTGAGTTTCTGATTTTCTGAATGGTGGCTCCCTGATATGGACAGCCAACAGTGCAAGCAGGCAGTACAAACACACACAAATCACCCTCTTTGGTCTATGGGAAACAAAAGCAAGAGATCAGCTGTTCCTGTATAGACAAGTCACATGACCACACTAAACAAAGATTACCCTGGTTCCTCCAGCAACAAACTGAAACATTTACCCTACACTAGCATTTAACATAGCAGCCAGATAAGTAAAATCAACTCCTTGGCATAATAGGACTGCCAGCAGTTGACACAGGTGGATTCATACAACTGACACAGAACATAAATAGATACTTAAGACTGCACACTGAAACAGTGCACTGAAAGCGCAGAATCCCTGAAGTGACACTGAGACCGCGAACCAGGACTGACAGGACACAGACCAAATTAGTGTCCTGTGAAAACAGTAGCAACAGAACACACACAGTATTAAAGTTGCCTCAGGGATGCTGAAGCTTTTCCCTAATTAGATATTCCATGCCTTGTGCCACACTTGGGCCAGCTCCCATGAATAGCAGAGACGAGATAAGGCAAGAGGATGTATGGATTAGATAAGAGCCACTTAGTGGTTGCCGGACCTTTACACCAGGCGTTTTCCTTGATACGGCTGACACCGTTGAGGAGGAAGAAGTAATAACTGACTGGAGGGAAAAAAGAGGAAAAAAAAGTATCCACCTGCATAGCAATGTCTCACCAATATAACAGACTAGTCTTATGTTTGTATTGTATAGCTTGAGGACAACAAACATTAAATGAAAACTGAAATTTCAGTCAAAATACCACTATTATAAAACACATCATACACATGTAATAATTAGCTTAGTGCAAATATATGATAGTGCATGTAAGCGTAAGTACGTACGTAAGTAATGGGAAGTGCAATAAAGAAAAGACAAACTTATTTGTCACCGGTCAAATCTGCTAGGCAATAACTGGGCTATAACTGCTATATGAGAAAAACAAAGTTTAGCAAACACAAATGCTCAAGATAAAACCGAAGGTACGTTTCCTAAGTGGTCACATTTTATGTCTACAGTGTCTTTCTTTGTAACTTGTTATGACAAGCAACTTGGTAAATATAGATTTAACTCCACACAGATTTCAAAATCCAGTATGCTGAAAAGTGTTTTTTTGCCCTTTTTTTTTCTTGCTAACTCCATTAGAGATCTTTATTGTATTCAGAAGCAAGGTATCCACCTGCACATCAGTGCCTTACCCTACATGAGAGATATGTTTTATATGGTTACTGTGTAGTATGAGGATCACAAAGATCTAATGAAAACCAACATTTCAGTCAATATGCAATTATTTAAAAAGAAATTATGGATATCTCTACAGTAATCTCAGCACAATAGTTAGATAAATCATCTTTAAATTATTGCAAATATATGTCTTATATGTACTTACAGGCTATTAAGACATGGGAAGTGCAGTAAAGAAAAGACACATTAGTCACTAGCCAAATATACTGCTTAAGACAGTTTCATATCAAGTTTGCTTGTTTTTCAATGTGTTTATGAGACAGTTATATTTATCCAATTCTAAAAATCTTCTTAAAATCACTGATTTTAAAATCTTAAAATCAGTGTCTGCCTCAAGAATCTTTACACCAGTTTTAACCATCAGTGTGCACATTTAATGAGAATTTCCAGATACTGTAAAATAATGAAATTTTTAATAAGATTAATGCATAAGATTATGCATTCTGTAGGCCCATTGCAGAAAGAAAGTGCAGTGTTGATTGAGTCAAGTTGCCTAACCCAAACTGTTGCTTACATGTAAAGAAACATGATCTGTTGACCATGTTGGTGCAAATTTAAACATGCTTATGTGTGCATACACACACGCACACACACACAGTAAAACAGTGAGGGCACGCCAGTCAATGTGCTCTTAAGCAGCAAAAAATCGAATGATCATGTGATGTTCTGAGAATCACCGTAAACCCTCAGTCAAACGTCTTCATTCATTATTGATTAGTGATGAGTTTTCTTAGTAATAAATTAGTCAGGAAAATGCAGGCAGCTGGAAGACTGGCATTTCAACATCAGGCCACTTATCAATATTGCATGCAACACAAAACATACATTTATCAGAGGACTTTTCTACCATTGCTTGAATATCTTCATGTGTAAGTTAGTTTTGCAAAAAATAGTGTTCTCAAGCAATTATATTACCTGGAAGTCTATTTTTTACTTAGTTAAAAGAGAAGCTTGTGATTAAAATGATATATTCCCCATTTTATTCCAAGCAGAGACTCTGCAAGCACACATCTAGCAGCACACAGCTATTATCTGCAAATCAGTGGATAGAGAGATAGACTGCTAACTAGTTCAAACAACGTCACCTTCTGTTTTACAGTATTCTCTCAAAACTCTTTGTGTATATGTGCCAAAATAAGGCCTAAAAGCCATCCAAGCACAGGTGTGGTGTAGACACAATACAAACATCAATCCCAGGCCAGCCTTATGTAAACTTTGAGGCCTCTTCCAATAAGTCACATGTCACCCTATGCAAGTACAATTATCATGAGGTAAGAAAACTGGTAAGTAATATGTTCAGTAATTACTTATTCCTTCCTGTTCTTTCAGAATCTATCCCTTATTGCTATTCACACAAAAATGCAAAGTAAAATGGTGCAATAATCATAAAAAAATGCAGAAATCTGATCTTACAATTTGCAGCTCAACACATCATGGTATGCAGTTTTGAAGCACAAACCATTGCATTTGCAGCATATCAAAATATTTCATGCTCATTGGATCATGGCCACACTTTACGGTGCCAAAAAAGTAGGACAGCAAAACATCAGTGGCTATGTTTAACCAAATTTGCTGAAAAAAATAAAATAAAATACATTAGTTCATTATTTGTATATTTTCAAAGTCTGTTTTCTAAAACACCTTTACTCATAAGCTCACACATCAGTTTATTGAGCTGATATCACTTCATAAGTCGTAAGGAAAACAGCTCATTTAGATTAGTTGGAAATTTTACTTTGATGACATTTTTTAAAAGCTACTCTTGATACACTTTTTTGACAAAATCTTTAACACCATAACACATTACAAGGGACATCTTTAAACACATGAAAATGCTAAACTTATTATTTGGTTATTTTTGTTTCTTAGCTAAGAACTCTCTCGCAGGCCTTCGTTTCCGTCTTTGCCCTCTAAAAAACCCCCACCAACAACAAAAGTGACTAGTGTTTACATTTTGTTTCAGAGAGTTGCCTGGCTAAAGTGAAATTCACCTAATGTTTGCTCTGAGACAGGTGTCACATGTCGTATGACCCGGAAGAGGGAGGAGGTCATAGACAGCCAAGCAAAGTCTTACAATCCCTTTAAAGTTTCAATGCTACAAAGCCCTTTGAAAACTGACAATACAACAAAAAACTTAAAAAAGCATCAACTTCAGTCACTTGATGCTGGCTAGAAAAACTGAACTCACAGCATTAGAAAGTGAAGACACTGAAAGGCAAATGCTAGCTTTTCAGCTGTGCACTGATGTCCCCCATTATCAATAGCCTGGAAAGCACAGTGTCCAAGATTTCAAGGAAGAATTTCAATCTTGGACTGGTCAACCCACATGACAGTTTTCAGTGGATCTTAAACCAGTACTGGGACAGAGTGTTTTGGGATCTGATTTGTATATTTTACTTCCTTGTTGATGGTTTTTAAACTACATTTGTGAATGCACCATAGCATTAATTGACAGAAGTTTTCTGAAGTGGTCCCGAGTCCATGTAGTTACTTCCTCTAGATAATCACTTCTTTTTATAAATTGTAGCAGTGTCTGAGGACCAGAAGATTATGGCCACTCGGTAATGATTTTTGGGCTTGTACACAAAGCCAAAAACTAATACTGTATTGTTTCCTAGAATCTTTCAATGATATTATGTACTGATGATGAAATCCCAAGTTATTTTAATGTCACAGTGAGTCATTCTTAAATCCCCGAACTATTGTCCTGTGCAGAATAATGAACACTTTTCCAGTTTTCTCTGTTTCTAAAAGGTTTAACCTTTTTCGAAATGCTTTTCTGATACCCATTCACATCCATTATGTGTTGCTTATGAACATAACTAGTTGTGAGATGTATCACAGGTATATAGTATTAACAACTTTTCCACTCTTATGCTACCCCTCCATTAATTTTTTACATTTTTTATTAACTTTAGGACGTTAATGATTTACAAAATACTTCTTTTTAAATTCACATTTTGTAAGGGATCAGAAATTTTACAAAAAGGGTTAGAAAAAACTTTACAGAAGTTATTTTGGCATCAAATGAGTAAAATATCAATGGCAAACTCAAAGCTAAGTTGACTTTGTATTAGTGCTCCTCTCTGCTCTTGCCAGAAATGTCACAGGGCTTAAAGGTAGACAAGAGCCTGAACACCAGAGGGATTTGCCTAGTTGGAGAGTCTGGGGATTTGGACACTGATCTATGTCCACCTGCATGGCATGACACTGAAAGACCCAGGATTACGTAACACAAAATCAACCCTAGCGCCTGTAGTGACTTGCCAGAATTTAAGAGATTAACCTATATAAGACAATTAGTACACATGGCATATTTTTAACAAGGTCTACACAAAACAACCTCACAGAAGTAGTGGTGGTTTGATCAAAATGTGTAGAATTCTGGACATCCTCATTGGGTAACTGGATAACTGAGTTAATTTACAGTTCAACATGGATGAGAGTTCAGACATTCTTGTTTTTACAAACAAACAAACAAACAAACAAACAAACAAACAAACAAACAAACAAACAAACAAACAAACACCAATAAACATAATCAAAAATCCCACAAGTTTCACAGCATATAAATCTCTCACCAGCTGTGAACAATGAACATTAGTAAAATGTAAGGTAAAATGGCCTGAGAATGGGAATAAAGTTTGTGAATAAAGAAAGTTCTTACCTGGTGGTCCCTGGAGTTTGGCTTTCTTCACTGCACAGCACACAGAAACACACAGACACACACACAAAAACAAAGATTAGCTCAATTACATAAATTTAATTTGCACTAGCTTAAGAATAAACATCGTACTATAATACGTAACTAAAACTGACACATAGGTAAATCTTAGGCCCCTGAGGGGTCTCACCTACCAAAGACCTAAAATTAACCCTTTCCAGTGTTTATGTACCTAAAACACAGTTTAAAAGCACAGTGTAAATAGAATTTTACATTATTTAAATAAATTATTTCAAACTTATTGTTTTTAATGAATACATCTGACATTTGATTAACATCCACAAAACTTCCAATATGTATATTATGTACTGTAGCAAAGCGATATACTACTCCAATGTAAGTCAAATGATGGTAATACAATGTTGAATCAAAAGAGTTTGGTTTTTTAAAATTATTTTTAAAAGACAAGTCTAAAATACAAACACAGAATAACGACGCTACAAGTAACGGCGTTACTTTTTTCAGTAACGAGTAATCTAACTAATTACTATTCCTATCGTTACAACGCCGTTACCATTACTAACAAGAAAATGCGGCGCGGTCGCGTTACTATTTTTCAACATTCAGACGGTTGAACCTGTCTTCGGTTTACCGCATCTTATATCAGTTGCACTGAAGTAGCTGTAAGTGATCTGGGCCCTACAGCTTGAGGCAGCTGCGCGCGCTCCCGCGGATGTCAATCACTTTCTGACAGTCGATCACTTTTTGGCAAAACACCTGGAGCTAGGCGGCAAAACAATCGCATGAGTGCTGCTGTTTCACTGAGGAAGAGTAAAGTAGTCGTGGTAAGCCAATCACATGACCACTTCAAGATGACAAAGCAACAAGGTGATATATACCAGTTTTTAAATTGTGTTGATAGGCCGCGTAAAACAAGAGTCATGATAAACAATATATACGCGTGTTTCAGGTATCAGGCTGTGATGTTCTCCTTTATAGTGGACAGAAATTATTTTTTGGGAGTGGCACAAATAATTTGTGTGGCATCTACTTTAATGCGGAACAGCTGATTGTAATGTAAATAGTTTGACATGGTTATTTTAAAAAAGGTAAATGGCTGCAAATAACTTTGTTGTTTGCAAAACTTGTGCATATGATTTTAAAATTGACAATTTATATTTGCATTTAAAGTTATGAAATATGATTCAATAAACATGTTTGTGGTTGTTACAGTCCATCCATCCATTCGCTTCCGCTTATCCTTTTCAGGGTCGCGGGGGGCGCTGGACCTATCCCAGCTGTCATAGGGCGAAAGGCGGGGTACACCCTGGACAGGTCGCCAGTCTGTCGCAGGGCTAACACATAGGGACAGACAACCATTCACACTCACATTCACACCTAGTGACAATTTGGATTATCCAATTAACCTATCCCCACAAGCTGCATGTCTTTGGACGGTGGGAGGAAGCCGGAGTACCCGGAGAGAACCTATGCAAACACGGGGAGAACATGCAAACTCCACACAGAAAGACCCCGGCCTGATGGTGGAATTGAACTCAGGACCTTCTTGCTGTGAGGCAACAGTGCTAACCACCGTGCCACCGTACATCTGTACATGAGCACAGATGTTTTATTTCAGTTGTTTACGCATTCCCTAAGGCTTGCATGTATATTTCGAAGAAGAATGGGGTAACAGCTACACATATATCCATTTCTGCTGGGCATTCCTGTGTTTGCATTGAGGATGTGATTAACGTTCTCCAGCTGGGATCTTTGGATATTAAACGGGCCTCAAATGAGGTCAGGCAAATAAACCACATTACTGCATGGAAAATATATGATGGCAAATAATGTACATTTGAAATTTGGAGCCCTAGCACAGAAGGAATTAATTGAAGCAGTGGTGACATTATTAGTTTAGTTTCCATGTCTTCCTACAAGTGGCGTCTAGTTCCAAAGGAGGTAATTAATGTTTTTTTGTAACAATCAATCACTGTTAGTCATTTTGTTAAACCAGCTGTATGTAAAGTACAATCTTACCACTATATATGATACAAACTAGTAAATTATTTTTGTAATGTCATTAAGTGGCTGAATCATATAGAAAAGTAAAAATCTAATGTTTGTCCAGTGGGCTCAAACATAATGACTAAAATAATGGCAACAAACAAGGCAACAGTGTTTGGGATTGTTCAGTGGAGGAAACTGAGGTATGCAACTAAGAATCACTGTGCACATCCACGGATTCCTTCCTTGCTACATGATCCACATTTGAGTGATCAAATTAAATGTCTGTACAACAAGGTTGTTACAATAAAAAATATATTTTTCTCTACTCGGATTTTATGTTTTTTGTCCGATCAATTGTGTTAATACAATATGTCAGAATGAAAACATAACTGTAAATTCAGAGATTGTGCTGAAAAGAATGATACCAAACAAGGCAGTAAATAGTTTTTAAAGGCGAAATGGAGAGGTAAAATCAAAAGTAGCAAAAAATGGCCAAGTAACGCAATAGTTACTTTTCAAGTAATTAATTACTTTTAGAGTCTTGTAACTCAGTTACATTTTTGAAGAAGTAACTAGTAACTATAATTAATCACTTATTCAAAGTAACTTGCCCAACACTGCAAGTAAGTCATAAGTTGGTGCAACGTGCAACAAATGAAGACTACAAACACATCATCTTGTTTTAGGAACTCTTGTGCAGTTTGATCAAAACAGAAGAACTATGTGAAGAAATCAACTTTACACTATTTATATTTTTCAGCTTCATTCAAATTATTGTGTCATAGTTAATAGTTTTGCTAAGTTCATAACTGATAAACCGGATGCATAACAGTTCAGTTATAGTAAAATATATTTGTAAAAACCTTATCGTTTTAGTTAGAACGCTTCAAAGTTAAATCAATGAAAAATGGGATACTAAAGACTGGCACCTCTGTTTTATTAGCAGTGACAAATACATTTTTATTGGATTGCAACTTTTACATAATCATGAAGCATAAGCCTTGACAGCTGCATCACAAATCTTAACAGCTGGTGAACAAACAAAAAAAAAACAAAACAAAGGAAAAATGGGACTCAGGCAGATGGGTATTAAGATACAAAATAAACCAAAAATGTCTGATAACAGCAGCCATTTCCAAAAACCTCCAGACATTACTTATGGTGAAGAACCACGTGCTGCTCGATTTTGGTTCATAAGTCGACCTGCCGTCTTTAGCCCCTCAATGCATCTTTACAATAATGTTTATGGGATTGTGAAGCGATTTGAAGAGGATTAGTTGTGATTGCAGTGGCAGGGTTATGTGTGCAGGCATATAACCTACTAAACCTCTAAGGGCTGAGCTGCCAGATGTCCAGAATGGGATGATGGAGGCACAAATAACGCTTTCATATTTTCATGTACCATCCCTTGTTTTTTTCTGTGCACATTATTAAAACAATAGTATAAAGTTTTTGGGTCTTCTAATAATTGATCATTCTTAATTACTCTTAATTACAGAGAACCATATGCATATAAATACAGCAAAGTAATATTTGCATATTAGAAAACTAATAGTGAAGTAACGATTAGAATGAATAAAAATGCAGGTTGAAGTGGAATGCACCAAACCTAACACATGCAGCCACAATTGTAAACTGAAAGACTAAAAATCAAAGACACAGAGTTAACCGAATTTACTTCTAGGATAACAATGGAAAGCAAAAAAAAGAAAAGAAAAAAAAAGACCACTGGTCCTCACCCAGTGTTTCCTGTCTTTTACATAACTCATTGTGGAACAGTGGAAATCTTCAGTAAAGCTAGCAGTATGATTCTTTTTTCCACTAAGTCAAATGAGCTGGCTGTGGCCTTCTTTTCTCATTTGCATCACTTAATTTTAACTGTGGACCAAATAGCAGGAGGTCATTAAACCAGAGAGAGGGGGATTGCAGTGGAAACTGATCCTTATCGTTTTCTGTCCATGCTTAATTTGATGGGTGTAGTTGATCTTTATCTACTGTTCTTCAAAACCTACTGGTTTCTTTTCTTTTTTGGTTAATTTTACTTGCTTGTGATCATACTTGGTTTCAAATATATTAATGCAGTTGCATGTCTCAATAAAAGTAGATCCCCCACCCCAGTACTATCCAGTATCATTTCTCTTTAGCAAAGTAAAGCTCTTTCCCCCAGCAGTTTACAAATTTGACATGATGACACAAACACTGCCTCATAAATTGAAACTAACACCAGCTGCACTATTGCAGATGGTACATGTGCAACACAGTTTCACAACACTTCATGAAATAGTCACCTCTAAGTTGTTCTCTATTTTATTGATTAACATTTATGGACACAAATTGTAATGTTTATTTTTGTTCCTGAAAACTAATTTTTCAGCATTATTTTGGGTCACTCAACACAACTTCTCATCAATCATCTCTTATGTAGTGATTCCTGTCCATGGAGATGAAAACAATACCACAATAAGAGTCTGCATTTGAAGGTCAGAGGTTGTTGGTAGAGCAAATCATCTTGAGATTTGTGTTCAGTTTATACAAGCCATAGATTGTCACACAACATTTGTATTCTTTTAATGATGTTATTAATAAAAAACAAAACGCAGTGCTTGGTTAAGTTTAGACATTTGCAGTGACTTGGTTGGGGTTAGACATTACAAAGAACATATTTTTAAGTAAGGGAACATAAAACTGGGTTACCGTTTAAAAAAAAAAGATCATGGTTTGGGATACAGTGGTTGCCACTTCTTTTAAAGCTTTGTTGCCTTGGTCGCCATGGTGATACCTCCCCTTTTAAATGGACATAATATGTGCTTATAGTATGAAAAATGTTTCCTCAAACAGCAGACCTTTGAGGTACTTTAACCTGCAAAAGCATGACAATTTGTGTCCATGACCACTGACATGTTAGATTTCACAGTGTGATAACATCATAAGATGGTGTCTAGTGTTTTGCTCACAGTTTTAATAGCTGAATTTTATTTAACCATTTTGCTTTCCGAACATCTATAATGTGACTAAAAATCACAAAATCCTGCAGCTTTCTGAGAAACCAAGCAAACTGTATACTGTTAGCGATTTGTAGCAATCTGTGTTATCCAGATGATACTTTAAAAGAAAAACAAAAAAAACGACTTCATAGATAGAGATTTTCTAAAAATGTGTGCTAATTCTGAAGTTGCAGCTCATGATGTTCATAAGCCAAATAATGACTTTAACCCCCTGCAAACAGTATCTATACTTTATTTCTTCTGTATAAACACGAATGAACAGCAAATAATATCAGTGTTCAGAAATTATTTTTAGCTATTTTTTAATTGGGGGTTGGACATTTAAATTCAGTTCAGTTGATCTGTTTCTTAAAGCACTGCAGGATTTAGTCAACTTCACTTGCTACATACACAGACTGCTCTACAATCCATAGAGGGGTGAGGAAAAGAGGAAAATGTTGATGTACCAAATAACAGGACATGCAGGCAGGCACAAAGCAGGAAAGTAGGAACAGGAAATGACACCAGAGTCAGAGCAGTGGCGTACTTCCGCTTTGTGTCGACTGTTGGATCTGATCACTTGGAGCTGGTAATAAGAGGAGAGAGAGCAACAGATGGCAAGGGGATTACTCCCACAATCTCTAAGCTCTCTCTCTCTCTATCTCACTCTGTCTTTCTCTCATAATTCCTCTACTCGGATGGTTACTATACTCAACCCCTTAGATTCCAGTTCAGTCACTTTTTTCTCGCCATTGCATCCTTTATATAATTATTATCTCAGCATAAGTCCTCAGCAACTGCCTCGGCTGTAGACAAATATGAGCCAAGCAGACTTGGCTCATATTTGAAAATGTGTATGCTTTTTCAGAAAATGTGTATTCCTCAACCAGTTGCAAGCTGTGGCTGAAGGTTCCTGGCAAAATTGGTCACAAAGACTATGCTGTACCAGAGGCCTCCTTTTGGCTGCTTTGGTTGCCATCAGATTGCCACGGTTGCCCATAGTTTGTACTGAAGACATAAACTTGTCTGCAAACTCTTGTTAAGCTGTAGTAAAACTTGAAAGAGTCAAACACAAACTAAAAACCGGGACATTTTGCCTTCAAAGCAAAAACTGTATACACATTTGTAACTAGCGAATAGTATTTATCTATTGGTTACTGTCCAGTCTTTAAGCCTGCATGAACAGGGATTTGGCAATCAATTTTACTGTGACTGCCAGCAACTACTTGAACCAGTCAGGTGCTGACTAGTCTCTAGGTCTATGTGTCGGTGGTCTGAGCAAGCTACAGCTTCTTGCTCTGCATAATTTTTTAATCACAATTGAAAATCAGGATGTTGCTCTATTCTATACACTTAATTAATACATGACTGGAGTAGAGATCCCTCCCTCTTTCTGGAGGTTTCTACCATTTTCATAATCCTTGTTGACACCAAGAATACAAGCATTGAGGCTTTTACCTCCTGTCCAGATAATGAACGCCCCTCAGGCAAATCTGACTTGACCTGAATCCAAAAATCATTAAAATAATGTAACCCACCTGCAATTTGCAAATGTAATTGCTTTAATGTTCAACATTTAAGTATGCGACTCCACAGTTCAATGATCATCTTTGTCCTCATTTTTCAATTAATGTTTTCCATTTCAAGTGGAGCACCACACAAAGCGTTCTTTTAACAGCCAAGCATAAGCTCTTGCAGATTCTTCATCTGCCTTCGAAACGAAGAAAATCTTATTAACCACAAATATCATGTAACTAAATCAATCAGCAATGTCAATGTCATACACAATATCTGTGCACCTCCAGTCCTCCAGCATCGTGTCATCCACGTGAACCATGTGTCAACTCAGCCTTGACCTGATGCACAGTAAGAGTTTCCCCCACATGTTCACTCGTAAGGGCAACCACTTATCTATTGTATAAAGACATTGCCATGGTGATGAAACATCTCAACTAGCAATAAATAGGCAACACTGTCAAGCTGTGCTATCAAACAATGACTCACAACATTAGTTAATCACAAAGCTTCTGCCCAAGCACCCTTTAAGCTAATCTACTCTACTTCTTCCTCTTCCTCTAACCTTTCCTGTACGGTAATCTATTGGCTGCAGCTCCTACTAGCTTTAATTTCACTAATCAATAGAAGAACAGTCTTTCCAGAGGTTTTGCAGAGGCACTGAGATTAACTTTTTCAAGCAAGTGAGATCAAATGCTTCTTTTTGAACCATTCCTTGTGTTTCTCAGAATGGTGCACAGGTGTCCCAATACCTCCTGAGTCTAACTATATTCACTATTTATTTATTTATTTATTTATTTTTACCAGAAAGTACATTGGTACTTAAACAGATTTATATTTGATGTACATATAACCAACACTTGTAACACAGATGTGTCTGGGCATGCATAGGTTCATGCACACAAGTTCCAGATAACAAGAATTTGTGGACTAAATGGAAAAAAAGAAAAAAAATGTGCCTTTTAATGTAAACACAGTCATTGGCTTTTTGCCATTACTTGGAAGCTAATCAGTACACTATCAGGAATACACACTAGAGCAGGGTGATATGACCAAAAATATTTATCACGATATACATTTGAAAATTTGTGATAACGATATAACTGACGATATAATTGACACTAGACAAAATACTTTACAACTCCACAACTTTATTCGTGCAAAAAAAAAAAAATCAATGTATTTTCACTTAAACAAGCAGCTGTTTTTTATGTGCATTAAAGTTATATAAAAATGTTACAGTGCAAATGCAAAATCCTTGCTGACAGTTTAACCAAAAGGCATTTCCAGTGTATATTGGCCAACATATCCTCAGCATAACCATGTATAATATCCACAAAACTTAAAAAGAGGTTATACACATAATACGGTAATATTATGTTGAAGCACAGTACGTATCACTCCGCGAGGCTCCTGCCTACGATAGCCGTAATGCTCCGACAATCCATCAAGCGGTGCGGGTTCGTAGCTTAGCAAAGTCGTACTAAAACATTTGACAGATTTTCGAGCGCCGTGTACGACATAAAATTGTTTCGCGGTCAGTAAACACAACCAGAATTCATACATAAGGCACACGGGATTATAAGGGGCACTGTCGATTTTCAGAAAAATCAAAGGATTGATTTTAAGTGTGCCGTATTTTCCAAACCACACGGCAATAACGACAGCCCGCTAGCATGCTCTACCAAAAATAGTGCTTTGTTGTGTATCTGACGGACGAAAGCCAAACCAGTTCCACACCACTGAAGTTGCAGCATTTTTACAAACCAATTCTGGTTCATCAGTTTCATTTAACGATCCACTTTCGCCCTTCTCATTCTGCGTCGCCGCCATGCTTTTTCCGCCATGTGCGTATGAAAACAAAGGCACTGCACATGCGTGTTTTACCCATATTCTATCGCGATATTTCATTTTCTTATCGTTGCCTAACATTGTACCGGTATTACCGTGAACGGTATGATATGGCCCAGCCCTAATATACACTCAGAGAAACAATATAGTAAAGCCTATTTGTTTTCAGGTAAAACATGTTCAAAGACTGAATTACAAAGAAGAAAAAGACTTTTATTCCAATTTCTTATCAGTGGGGATTATTAATGCTCCATTACTTCTATAGCAGATGCCAAAACTTTTAAACTCTCCCATGAAGGATTCTGTGCTAATGAGCAGTCAGTAAGAGTAACTAATATAGATTAATTTCTGAGAGACTAAATTTTGTGGAGACGAAAAAAAAAATCAAGTAGTTTGGTGAGGATGGCTGTGTTATTGCAGATAGGCATGCTTGTGTGCTTGTGTAGTTAGGGGGAGGCAGTTATCTCTGTTTGGGGTAGTTTTTTCTTCTTCTTTTTTAATCGAGCTCTTAGCAGCAGTGGAGCAAATAGTTGGGTGTCAGGCTTCTTGTTGCTGAATGGGATATTGCATAATGTGCTCTTCTGCTGTAAAAGCCTCTAAAGCAGGATTCTCCACCATCACTCCAGCCGATTCGCTGTAGTCTTCTGGTAGACGGCACGCTAACATGGAATGAACACTAACCTTGTTATCAACCTTCTTCTGACAAGACGGATTCCTTGATAGCAAACACGGTTTCTTTTTTCCCCCTGAATCAGGCTTTCAATGTAGAGGCCTACGAAACTAATGCTGGGAGATGATATTAAGACGAGACACTAAAAGTTCGATTATAAAATCCTCAGTTGTCACTGAGGACCCCAAGGATTTATTTTCAACATAAATTATAAATACATACCTCTGTTGAGTTTTTAAAGATAAAAATTATAAAGTCTTGGTTTTTAAAAACGTAAAATCACGTCAGGATAAAGGTACTTTTTTTCCCAGATACTACCCAAGGAGGAACGCCTACTGTTAGAAAACCAGTTTTGTAAGCTGTTACTGGAATGATCACTATGACTTCAGCAAACTCATCAAACAAACAAAGACAAAATCGCTTATGAAGTACAAATAAAGATAAAAGCTCCTACCTCTGACGCACAGTAACGACATGACCGACCGCTTCCAGCGACAATCCAGTAGTTTCACACAGTTTACAGAGCGACCTCTCAGCGGAGATTTACTCTGTGAGGTAACATTATAACAGTCACTAAACAGATTTTTTTCATCAAATTCCTCTTTGATGTTTACAGGTGGGTTTCCGGTCCCGGACCTGGGCAGAGAGCAGCTGCCACTCTCTGCTGCCACGCCATTATTAAAACTCTCATCACAGGTTTCCAGACTGAAGGATAGACCGAGAGCAAAGAGACAGGAGAGGGGGAGGAGGCGGGGTCGGGACACCTGTTACAGGCATCTGAGGCGACCAATCAGGATGCCAAAGCGCTGAGCCTTATGTAGACATTTGTCCAATCGCCGGGAGGGACAGGTTGGCGGAAGACACAGGTAACGCGCACAGATTCAAGTAAACATCCAGAACTTTGTATTTCACCATAGACAATATAAAACGATTCTCAGTAGAAAGATTCATTTAAGGTACTCAAAGTGACCTAGCTTTTTGGTTCTTTGTTTGTTAAATATTCAAAAAAATGTTTTGTAATTAAGCTGTGTTTGCTCTGGGCATGTCACACACATAAAAAAGTAAACTGTGGGGAGATATCTGTAGATTTCTAAATTTTAGGTTTCTAGGGATCAGTAAAATAAGCTATATGAAAAATTTATTCTTCAACGAATCTCATGAATTTCAAGTTCTTCCATAAATACAAAATTTAAGTAAAACTACATGCTTTCAAACTGTACAATATGTTTTTTTTAATAAATTGTGCCACAATGGTGAATTTGCTATATTTTTATGGAGTTTCTCTGTCTTTTTTCAAACACATAACATGAGTCTTTGTGTTTGTTTTTAGCAAAACAATCCTTTCTGAGCACTGATAATTCACAATTTTAGATTGACTTTGAGCTTGGTTTTATTTTATCTATTTAATAAATCCTTACATTAGCATTTTCCATTTCCATTTACCAAATTAAATAAATATTTACTTTAAAAAATGAAATAAAAAGAAAAGGTTCATACAGAATGCCCCCACAATGTGTGTTCAACTGCTATCACATACACCAAATGACCCCAAAAGACAACATTGAGTTGAGTGAGCAAAAATTAAACAAATAGCACCACCTTATGAATTGTGTCAGCCATTACACCAGAACGAGTGCATTTATTAACGAAAAACAAAACAAAACAAAAAAATTAGTAGTAGTAGTCGAAATATTACTCAAATATCAGTTGCCAGTAGTAATATTTTTTATTAACTAATAAGATTCAGTAGACTTATATATTATATTTCATAATAGATTATCAGTCTTCCACAATGAAAGGTGCTTAAAGAGAACAGTGGCAATAAAAGTAACCTTTAAAACGTGAAATAGTTACAGACATACTGCAAAAAGAATATACTAGTTTATGTGAAAGACAAAAGTTATAGGGCACTATAATAGTCATACAGTGAACATTTGTATTAAAGTCACTTATTTCGTCCTATATTTTTATATCTTTTTAAATGTATTATTATTAATGTATCTACTAGCGGAACCACTGTATGACTTTTTGTTTCCCACGCTGGGGGAGTTTTTCAGCGTTGCACCACTGATGTAACTTTCATTTCCTGATCGGTAAGGGTCACTCGCGTGACTGTGCAGTCTCAACAGAGTGTAGTTTACCAAACCTAATCTTCTAATTTTAAACAGTCCTTTTGCAATCTTTCAGCGATGTTACGGACGCTGTGTCGGACCGGCGGCCTCATTTTGCAGGTAACTGAAACTGTCACTGTGTGCCTCCTTCGGCTTAACATCTCGTGCACCGGTTCTTTTCTGTGGCTGGTGAAATAGGTGTCATTCATCAGCGTGAGCCCGTGCGTTTAATAATCCCGATAGCACTGTATTTTTAGCGGAACACCTGCGGACATAATGATTATTTCTAGATGAAAATGAACTATTGGTTAGCTGGTATGGCCAGAGAAAGACTTTGGTATGGTCGATTAATATGGTCACATACTGTATACACTCAAATGGGTATTTACCAATGACCTCGTTCATATATATATAATATGTAGAATGTGACCAAATAAGTCTAACCAAAAACTTAAAATTGAAACATAAAACAAGAATATTAACATTGATGTTTATTCAGCAACCTTAAGCTCTACAAGCTAAGATAGTCTTATGAGTCTTGGCTCAAATTCATGCAGTAATGCCACCTGTTTACATTTTAATGAATCCTCTGTAGCAGACCCAGCGGACCGTGCCGAGGTTGTGCGTTAACCCAGTTCGGCAGCGATGGGCGTCCAGCCTGCCCATGAACACCGTGGTGCTGTTTGTGCCCCAGCAGGAGGCTTGGGTGGTGGAGAGGATGGGTCGCTTTCATCGGATCTTGGAGCCGGTAAACTTTGTTGCATTTAATAGATCCCCAAAAAACAAAAAGCACAACAAATAGATGGTGTTCTTCCCCAAACAACATGGGTTCGATCCCCAGTTTGACCATGAACTTCATAAATTTTCATTTTGGTCAAATCAAATCATATTGCATAGAACTAAACTGCATTACAGTTACATATCCTAGCTTTTCAACTTACCACAATTACAAATACAGATCAAATACAGTTGTGATCAGAGGTCTTGTCAACACAAAGTTATTTATTTGGAGCACAGTTCTGTAAGAAAGATAAGTTACTGAAAAAGTGCTTGTGCTTAAAGTGCTTCACTGAGCTGAAATGTAAACTTAAAACATCTCAAGATTTAATCAATAAAAAGAAACTCTAAATTAAAAGGACCTCAAAGTGTCTCAAAGGCTTGATATCTTATGGACTATCCTCCATTGCAGTCACATTCCCCCTCAGATGGCCAGCTCCTGTAATTTGGCCTTTTTTTTCCCCCCCAGTGTGTCTGGGATGACACCTATAAACTGGGCGCACGCGACATCATTACTGTATGTGGGTTTATGTTCAAGCTATTTTTCTTGTGAAGAATTATTTTGGACTTGAACTTGGTGGACGGAGCTTCTTCTTTGGGAATATCATAGGCAATGTTGCAAGCAACTTTTCTTTGCAGATGCTCACGATGCCGCTCTGGGCAATGCCCCATGTCGCCCGTATCAAAAACCGCCACTGCACCACAGTAAATGTAGTGCATCATGTTGTCAGCTTTACTGTATCTTAGCCAAAGAAACTGGTCAAGCCACTCTCTTCGAAATGTATATACTTTACCCCTTTTACTTTCAGTTGGCTATGGCTCGAGTGGATCGTATGTGATTTATTATTTGATGCAGTCTCCAAACCATTGTTAAACATAATCTGCCATTTACTTCCGGCCTGCCCGACCTTCTGAGGACCCGGCCTTCGCGGTCTACGTGGGCCAGGAGGATGCAGCCCATGAATTTGGACACGACTAATGTGTGTCTGTTGTTGACCACACAAAGCCCTTTTTCTTTTTTTTCTTTTTTTTAAATACTTGAACAGCTGGTCGTGCCGATGCATCCTTTTATTTATTTATTTATTTATATATATATATATA